TATATATATATATATATATATATATATATATACATACATACATATACTTTTATATAAATAAAACCACATCAAAGAGCTATACACATTTAATGTTTGTTTTTCCAAATCAAATTAGCAGTGAGCTGCCCAAATTTATTTGTTTTAAAATTAAATATCTAATGCTCCCACATGCAGGCGAGGATTTCAACTAGCGTCTCTGACCATGCTGAGCTGAACCAGAGGCCACACCCCCAAGAGCTCAACCCCACTTTCTAACCAACAAGACTGCGCCCCCCAGCCCCCACCTCCTCAGTCCCGACAACCCACCAATCAGGCACCCTCCCGCCTCCCTGCCATCTGCCTCCCCCATCATTGGCTGCCCCTATGCTTCCTGAAGCCGAGCCTTCCTGCCTGCCGGCTGGCCTCTTCGCTCGTCTGTCTGCCGCAGCGGGCCAATGGGAATCCAGGCCGTTCAGGAAAGGGTGGGGTACATTCCAGCAGGAAGCAGCAGCAGCTGAGGGGGAGGGGTGTTGGTTCATGCTACACATTCTGTGAATCAGCGCACATGGAGGGGAAAGGGAAAGAGTCCAGGCCCACCCACCCACAACTGCTTGTGAACACGCCACTATTCTCCTGCTGGAGGGCTACGCACAAACACGCACGCACACTCGTTGTCTCATCCACCTGATAAGATACATTCAAGGCCTTTGCATTAAAGTATCTCACTTTATCTTTACCGTCCAATCCCACCCCCTCCGGGTGAAGCAGTAAAGCCACAGTGTCACCTTTTTGAGAAAGCTACGTGCTGGCTCGCTACACGCTAGAAACATGGGTGGAGGCGCAGTCGTGGCACATGCGTAAAATGGAGACCACCATTACAAAACCCTCAGCTCGTCTGCAGCCATTTGATCAGTCTGACACCGGCTGACATCTAAAGCTGAGCTGCGGCTCTCAACACATACACAAGACAAAAAGGCAATCCTCGTTTGGCTTTCTGTGTGCTTACACGTTGCACATGGTTTCCCTGCAGAACAAAGTGCGATGTGACGGACGAGGAAGAAAAATCAAGTAAAGAAAAAGAAATTCCACAAGAAAGTTAACAAAATTAAAGGATTTCTAAACAACAAAGATAATATTTAGGTCATCATATAAAGGCCTTTGTTCCACATACATTTTCTTAAATGAAAGCAGAAGAAGCAGAGACTAAACCCTGAGGAGCTTAAACACGCGCAGAAGACCCGACGCCCAATACGTTTCACTAGTTTCACCGTGACCTTGACCTCTGACCAGCCGGCAGCTCATCATTAATGCTGAGGTACCTTCTCACACGTTTTCCTTTAAAACCACAGAAGAAGCGGACCGCATGAAGACTACAGACTTAATCCTCTAGAAATTCTGCCTGAACTCATGCAACCAAACCATTTTAAATCAAATATGGTTTTCTGAGGAGTCTCTAAATTATGGTCGTCTTATCCTCAGAATAAAAAAAATCCACATCACAGCCAAAGATTTGGTCCAGCTAACTGTTCTGCATGTCTTGTTTTTATCTTAGATGGTTGCAGCTTGTTGATTATTAATGTAGAAGCAATCAGTGCAAAAGAAATAAATAATCAATTTTGCGCATTTGTGGCTCATGCTACAAAAAGATTTAAAAACAAGAGTGTAGAGCAATCTGAAGAGCCACAGCAATTTAAAGAGGAAACGTTCACAGAAAATACAATAAATTTCTTTCACCCAATTAGAAAACATTAAATACTAAAAATGACCCATTTAAAAGGAGTCACAAAAAGAGGTTTAAATTGAGTGCAAATTTGATTGTTCTTTAATAGTAGGCAACACTAAAAAAAATGCATAAAACAATCCAACGAAGCGTTTAAGGTTTAAGTGCACCTTTAACACCATTTTCCCCTAAAATATACGAATTGTAGGTAAAGGCTAAATATTCCTGTTTCAATCAAAGCTTCACATGCTGCTCTGAGGTTTAATTTTGTTAAACACCAGTCGTCAGTGGTTGAGACTACCATGCTGATAAAATATGTCAAAGACCATGCTAACGTTCTTCTAGGCCTCTTATGCAGGGACATTAACAACACGCCTCCTGCTACTGACATAAGTTTTGTCTCACCCAACAAATCAGCAGGTGCATGCTCAACTGAAATCCAAAGGCAAGATGGCTCCCGAGGCCACTCACTGGGAGCCCAGTGGAGCTGGACGGGGATGCCACACCCTGGAAGCAGTTAGCAGCCGGTTAGCACTCACCTCCCACTGCATGTGAGGCGGGATGTTCCTGATCTGCAGCTTACAGCTTCTGGAGAGAAAACAAGGGAGGAAGAGGGTGGGGGATGGAGACAAATAGTTCATACAAATACTGACACAAGGTGCGTAAAGATACAAGTTAAAAATGGCAGCACTTGATCCATTTGATGAACTAAATCACAGCAGGGCTATAGGTTATCTGTACTATTTCCACCTCAGGTAAACCATAAAATGCTGCGTCAAAGATGGGGAGCGCAACAAAAGATGAGCAAAAATCATCACTTACAATGCCCAAACCGAGGTTCTCACATTTTATATTCCACTTCTAAAATGTCCACAGCACACCGCCAAGTGTCAGGCACAAAGAAGTAAATGGACTGTACTTATACAACACCTATCTTATCCAGACACTCAAAGCTCTTTACACTACAACCTGTGCCTCACTGACCCACTCATACAGCACTCTAACAAAGAATAACTGAACAAATATCCAGATATATGCTCAATAATCCAGGTAGAAAAATCCAAAAAAAGTTCAATCTGGTCCTCTGGACATT